TTGTGATTTGGGTGAAGATTTACAGAGCAAATTCACTTTCCATACAGCAGTTCACATATACTTTGTCTCATGTCATTGACCACAGTTTTTGAGGTGCTCTTTGAAATCTTCTGCTCAGCTCTTTTATGTCATCATTTCTTCCATTTAACTACTCTCCATTCAAGAAAACTTTCAGAGTCTCTTTTCACATCCATTTTGGTCTTTTCTTCCTTTCCTGTCTTTTTAATAACTTTTTGCATTTCAAGGAGCTCTGATGGTATAGTGGGTAAGGCATAAGCTAACCAAAAGCTCCATGGTTTGAACCCACATGCCACTCTATGGAAGAAAAATGAGGGAGTCTGCTTCTGTAAAGATTTACAACCTTGGAAACCCAATAGGGGGGTCACTATGAGTTGGAATTGACTTGATGGCAGTGAGTTTGGTTTGGTTTGGGGTTTGCTTTCTTTATGAATGATGTTCTTAATGTCATCCCACAATTTGTCCGGTGTTTGGTCACTGGTGTTCAACATGTCAAATGCATTGTTCAGTTGGTCTCTAAATTCAAGTGGGATACAATCAAGGTCATATTTTGGCTCTCATGGACTTATTTTAATTTTCTTCAGCTTCAATTTCAACTTGCATATGAGCAACTGATGCTCTATTCCACAGTGAGCTCCTGGCCTTGTTCTGACTGATGATATTGAGATGCTCCATTTTCTGTTTCTACAGATGCAGTCAATCTGATTCCCATGTACTCATTCCACCTGGCGAGGTCCACATGTAGAGTCACCATTTGTGTTGTTGAAAAAATGTATTTGCAATGAATAGGTTGTTGGTCTTAAAAAAATTCTATCATGTGATCTCTAGCACGATTTCTTTCACCAAGGCCATATTTTCCAACTACCAATGCTTCTTTGTTTCCAGCTTTCACATTCCAATCACCAGTAATTATCAATATGTCTTGATTGCATGCTTGGTCAATTTCAGACTGCAGAAGTTGGTAAAAAATCTTCAATTTTTTCATCTTTGGCTTTAGTAGTTTTTGTATAAATCTAGATAATAGTCATATTAACTAGTCTTCCTTGTAGGTGTATGGATATTATTCTATCACTGACAGCATTGTACTTTGGGATAGATCTTGAAATGTTCTTTTTGATTATGAATGTGATGCCATTCCTTTTCAATCTGTCATTTCCACCATAATAGACCATAGGATTGTCTGACTCAAAAAGGCCAATACCAGTCCATTTCAGCTCTTCAGTGTCTAGGATATTGATCTTTATGTGTTCCATTTCATTTTTAACAACTATAATTTTCCTAGATTCATACTTTATGCATCCCATGTTCCAATTGTTAATGAATGTTTGTAGCTATTTCTTCTCATTTTGAGTTGTGGTACATCAGCAGATGAAGGTCCTGAAAGCTTTACTCCAACCATGTCATTAAGGCTGGCTCTACTTTGAGGTGGCAGCTCCTTCCCACACATATATTGAGGGTCTTCCAACTTGAGAGCCTCATCTTTGGCACTATATCAGACAATATTTTCATGTTATTCATAAAGTATTCTAGTAATATATCAGATATTGTTTCACTGCTATTCATAAAGTTTTCCATAGCAGTTTTTTCAGAAGTGGACTTAACCCATGTCCTTCTCCTCAGTCTGTCTTAGTCTGGAAGCTCTGCTGAAACCTTTCCACCATGGGTGACCTTGCTGGTATTTGAAATGCTGGTGGTATAGCTTCCAGCAACATGTAAACCATCATAGTATGACAAACTGTTAGATGAGTGGTGACAACACACATATACTGAGCACCACTGTATGCTCTATGTTGAGGCTGAGGCACTCAACCAGTAGCATGATCTCATTTAACCTTCACAACAACTCAGACAGGTAGACATTGTTTATCTCCATTTTATAGATAATGGAACTAAGGGAGAGGATAAATGTTTCTGTCAAAGTCATAAAGACAGTAAGTAGTGATGCTCCAAACATCGTACTCTTGCCTCCACAGCATAATCTCTGCTTGTATGTCTTTTACAGTCCATCGGAGCAGGTAGGTGCCTATCCAGATGACCGTGAATTAAAGACAGAAGGTAATGGTGATGGAAACTTACACTTGGGCTGCCCTATACAGTTAACAAGGAGCTCTGGTGGCACAAAGGACATTTGACTGCTAATCAGACGGTTGATGTTCAAACCCACCAGCTGCCCCATGGAAGGAAGATAGGGCAATCTACTTCCATAAGGATTTACCACCTCAGAATCCCAGTGGGAGTTGCTATGAGTTGGAACTGGCTCAATGGCAGTGAGTCTGGTCAGTCTGGTCATACAGTTAACAGGATGATGTTCCATTCTGTGTTTCACTGGTTCTAAAGATTATAACCAAACCAAAACCAAGCTCATTGCCATCCAGTCGATTCCAATTCACAGTGACCCTGTAAGATAGAGTAGAACTGCACCACAGGATTTATAGCAAGGCTATAAATCTTTATGGATGCTCCCATGGAGCAAATGGTAGGTTCAAATTGCTGACCTTTTGGTTAGCAGCCGCACGCTTTAATCACTGCACCACCCAGGCTCCTTCTAAAGGCTATACTACTGGGACAAATAAAGCATAGTGAGATGAGAAGAGGGCAACGATACAAAGAGACCCTCTGGCTAATTTAACACGACTTAACGTCTGGTGTTAATAGCTGGATATCTGGCTATTGTTGCAAGGGACACAATTTGGTCTATAGTGTTATCCAAATTTTTAAAAATGTGCATTAATATTCTGAATTCTGTTTAATTTTTTAGGGTCTCAAGAGCATACTCAAGGCATCCTTGTTTCCATCAAGCACAGAGATCAAGGAAGATTAAACTCTATTGATTACTCATTGGAAGCCTCAGAACAAAGTGTTTCCCAAGAACTGATGGCCAAAATATCCACCCATAACACAAGTGAGCTCAGAAAAGCTCTCTTTACAGTACTGACACAATGGAGCTTTTCCTAAGCCAACCAGTCTCTAACAAAACCAATGTGAAGTGCAACAACTCTACATTTTTCTTTGAATCCTGTCAACCCCCTTCTCTAGCATTACATCTATTACTCATAGCCTATACCATGGTCTTAATTGTGGGCCTTTTTGGAAACCTCTCTCTTATCATCATCATCTTTAAGAAGCAGAGAGAAACGCAGAATGTCACCAATATACTAATTGCTAATCTCTCCTTCTCTGACATCTTGGTGTGTGTCATGTGCATTCCTTTTACTGTCATCTACACTCTGATGGACCACTGGATATTTGGGGATACTATGTGCAAACTGACTTCCTATGTGCAGAGTGTCTCTATCTCTGTGTCCATATTCTCACTTGTGTTAATTGCTGTTGAAAGATACCAGCTGATTGTGAATCCCCGTGGCTGGAAGCCCAGTGTATCTCATGCCTACTGGGGCATCACACTAGCTTGGCTCTTTTCCCTTTTGTTGTCCATTCCTTTCTTCCTCTCCTACCACCTCACTGATGAGCCCTTCCGCAACTTGTCTCTCCCTACTGACATCTACGCCCACCGGGTGGCCTGTGTAGAGAGCTGGCCCTCCAAAATGAACCAGCTTCTCTTTACCACCTCCATGTTTATGCTCCAATATTGTATCCCTCTAGGCTTCATCCTCATCTGCTACCTAAAGATTATTATCTGCCTCCGTAGGAGAAATGGGAAGGTGGACAGGAAGAAGAAGGAAAATGAGACCTGGCTCAGTGAGAACAAACGGATTAACAGGATGTTGATATCCATTGTGGTGACCTTTGGAGCCTGCTGGCTGCCCTTGAACATCTTCAATGTCATCTTTGACTGGTATCATGAAGTGCTGATGAGTTGCCACCATGATCTGGTATTTGTAGCTTGTCACTTAGTTGCTATGGTTTCTACATGTATAAACCCTCTCTTTTATGGCTTTCTCAACAAAAATTTCCAGAAGGACTTGGTGGTACTTATTCACCACTGCTGGTGCTTTACACCTAGGGCAAGATATGAAAATATTGCCCTCTCCACTGTGCACACAGATGAATCCAAGGGATCTTTAAAAATGATTCACATACCAACAAGTATATAATAATTGATGATACTGTCTTGAATGGGAGATGGAAGGGTGGCTGGGAAAAGAGAAAATACAGAAAAAAGAAACAAGAACCAAAAAGAGCAACTTTATACCAACAAGTTTTCATTTAGGCCAGGCCTGTCTTTCTTAGCTATTCGTCTACCACACTTTCTGACACACACACACACACACACACACACCATCCCTTTTCTCTTTTCTTAAGAGAATAACTCTAAGAGCTCAAAATCTTCAATCATGTGAAGCAAAGAATGTGAGAAAGTACGTCAGGGAGTGTCCCCAGACAGCACTGATGGTTGGGAAACAAAATCCGGAGATCCTGTTATTTAATGGACTATTTACAAAAGTTATTACTAACAAATGTTTAGTAAAAACAATACTATGTCTCTTAGCACTGAAGAACTCCACTTTCAGATATGAAATCTGTAACTGTCAACCACGTATTCAATTACTTAGCAAAGTCAGAAAGGCCTCCATCATAATTTATTAATTAGTTAACAAACTAATTAAGTTTGGGTTAGAAGTTGAAAGATATGGTTTCATTTAACATGTAATCTAAGCATTGTATTTGTAATTAATTCTCATGCCTGAATCAGATTATTTAGTCATTTTCTTCATTGACAATTCTATTATCACTACTAGAACTGGCTAAAAACTTTTTAGCACTCCAGTTAGGTTAGAAATCAGTTTAAGCAACTTGTTAATGGACATTGTAGATGGAGCTTCCATTACAAAAATGACTTTTTATCCCTAATTCTTTATGCATATTAAGTGTTGTTATTGTTGTTGTTATGTGCTGTCGAGTTGGACCCAACTCATAGCGACTTCTCCTTGGGTTACCGAGGCAGTATCAGTACGGAAGTAGATTGCCCCATCTTCCTTCTGAGGAGTGGCTGGTGGGCTTGAACCGCCAGCCTTCTGGTTAGCAGTCAGTGCCTTAGGCACTACGCTACCAGAGCTCCCATGCATACTAAGTAGGGGGTCTTTATTGCTCTATCACTGAATACAAGGGAGCTTATCAGTAGCACTTTTATAATTAGTTCTAGATTTTTTAAAAAACCTCTTGTATATCTTATACTTAAATATTTAAAGTATATCTCTCATCCCCACAGTGACTTAAATAGGGGAATTAAGTAGATTATTTTAAAAAGGATACTAAGCTACTGTTCAAACAGCCATTATTTCAGTGACTTTTACTAAATCATCACTAGCTTTACCACTTCCTTGGGTGTACCTCCTTTATAATTATTAAATGTGAACTACAGCTTATTGGTATGTAATTGTCTTATTTCTTTTGAATAAAAGGTAATATTTCTCTGAATACTTGTGATTTTTCTATCATTTTTTTTTTCTTGCCTTCATAGATTCCACTCTTAAAATTTCATCTCTTCTCTCTCCCTTTTCTCTTCAAGATTTCTATTATTTTGGGATAAATGAACAACAAAAGCATTACAAGACACTCAAATGAAATAAAGTATAACAATGTCACAAAATCTGCTGCAAATAAAAGCTCTAAAATAAAAAAAAGTTCTAAAAGTCATCTTCAAATGATGTCAGCTTTAGAATCTTTAAGGTATAAGGCTACAGTCCTTAGCCCAGGGAACAATCACATCTTCCCTAGACACTCTTTTATATCTGTTATGACAGTGGTTAGTCCTAAAATACTCCAGACTTATAATTAAGATCCAACAAATGAAAATACATTGATTCTAGTTTCTATGACCAAAATGACCCTGATCAAACTACTGTAAGCATGAAAGAGTATCAAACTCTGACATCGTCCCTTTCCCCCTACTCCCCCCACCACCAAAAAACCAATATCCTCTAGACCCCACCCTGAGTATTCAGAAGAGATCTCCAATGTAAAATTAAATATTATTGTGTTCTTTCTAGATCCGTGATAAGAGTTATTTCCATTTCCTACAAAACTGCTATTACTTTTTTTAAAAAAATTCTTGAACTTTATTGAGACAAGAGTCACTAATTATTAGTTGGGCAATCTACTTCTGCAGTGATACTGCCTCGGAAACACAAGGAGGGGTCACTATGAGTCAGATCCGACTCGATGGTAGTGAGTTTGGTTTTTTAAGTATGTTTACTTTTACTTCAAAAAAGCATTGAGTTAAATGTGTATTTTAAGGTATGTCTCTATCCTTATGGGGCAGGAGAACCTGTTTCCGTCTGACAGGCAAGAGAACACAGGTCTTCAAGTAGCTACTTAAGAAATTATAATGGGAGGATAAATCAAGTGCTGTGGGACCCCAGAGGAGTAAAAGTCACAAGTAAGAGGAAACATAGAAAGACTTCAGGAAAAGCAACCATCTTTCCTCTGTTTTTGCATTATTTATGGATAGTTCACACCAACTTGGTCTACTGTTGAGCCACCTGGCAGAATGAAACAGGGCCTCGTCCTCTCTCTTGCCTCTCGCCAGTTGCCAGATGGGACTGTATTCTCCCTTTTAGGAATGAGACTGATGTTTGCCAGATGTTCCTGGAAACACAGATTCCTCTAGCCAGTGTTCCAAAGATCTGCTCTTCTATGCTCTGCTTTCAAATAATTTGGGGCTAAGAGTAAATTTTTCACATCTTTAAAAGTTCCCAGAAAAGAAGACTATTAATGGGATGAATAAGCATTTATCTATACCTCAAAGAATTAGTAAATTGCCTAGTCTGAAAGTGTCTGTTCATTTAGCCCAGAGCTAAATGAGAAAATGCTAAAACACTTTTTTTGCTCTACCTAGTCCTAAAAGGGGAGCTCTGGTAGCGTAGTGCCTAAGGCACTTGACTGCTAACCAGAAGGCTGGCGGTTCAAACCCACCAGCCACTCCTCGGAAGGAAGATGGGGCAATCTACTTCCATAGTGATACTGCCTCGGAAACCCAAGGAGGGATCGCTGTGAGTCGGGTCCGACTAGACGGCACATAACAACAACAACAGTCCTAAAAGACACCCAGAAAGAATTTCTGGTCTATTTCAAACAGAGAGAATCAACAACAGAAATAATTCAAAAGAAACAACACCCAAATGTGGTTTAAATTTGTACGGGATATATTTTTCTGCAATGGAATATGTGATATTCTGAAAACAATATAATTTGATGAAGAAGCAAAGCATGAAGATTCAATTCAAAAAAAGAGATGGGAAGTTGTCTACCTTTTATTATGCTCCCTACTCTATATTGAGGATGAACAACATCTTCTCTCGGTTTAATGAAGGCATTCCCCCTTCATTAAACTCAAAGCTTTAATGAAGCTCCGTGATTTATTACTTTATAAATCAAGAAAAATATATTGAGCACTTACCACTGTGTAAGACCACTGAAAATGAAACTCACTGCCCTTGAGTTTACTCCAAATCATAGTGGCTCTATAGGACAGAGTGAATCTGCCCCACAGGGTTTTCAAGGCTGTAACCATTTGTGGTAGTTAAGGTTATGTGTCAACTTGGCTGGGCTGTGATTTCGAGTGGTTTTGCAGCTGGATGTAGTTATTCCCCCTGATGGGATTGGATGTTGTGTAATCACCTCCATGGTGGAATCTGCTGTGAGCAATCAATCAATTGAAGGAGAGTTGCCTTCGGAGTGTGGCCTACTTCCAGTATATACAGAAAGGATCCTGCATCTGGTGTAGTGTTCATTTCCAGTTCCCGGACAGTTCCTGCCATGTTGCCTGCCGATCTTGGGATTGTTCCTGCCATGTTGCCTGCTGATCTTGGGATTGTGCCATTTCACTTGCCAATCTTGGGTTTGTCATCCTCAGGATGTGAATTAGAAGAAGCCTCCAGCTCCAGTGAGCCTGGAATCAGAGGCAGAGCTGAAAGCCCAATGTCGAGGGGTCTTCACCTAGCCCCTAGAGCCAGCACTCTGAATTCGGACTTCTAGCCTCATAAACTGTAAAGGAATAAATTCCTGTTTGTTAAAGCCATCCACTTGTGGTATTTCTGTTATAGCAGCACTAGAGAACCAAGACAATCTTTATGGAAGCAAATTGTCTCATTTTTCTCCTGTGGAGCGGCTGATGGGTTCAAACCACTAACTTTTTAGTTGGCAGCCAAATGCCTGCACTACTGTGCCAAAAGAGCTCCAGCACTATGTTAGGTATAGAAAAAATGTAAGACACAGCTTTAAAGAGTTTACAATATAGCAGAGGGGCAATTTAATGCCTTAATTTTGAAGGCTTTCCTTCTGACCAGGTTGAAAGCTGCCTAAAAGAAAATTAAGAGAGCTGAAGGCAGAGTTAATTTCAAAGGAGGATTCGATTTGTCTTTATACCAATAAGTGAGGATATACTGGGGATGAAAAGATGAAGCACCCTGTGCTATTTCTGTGCCCGAGACAAAGTATATGTGAACTGCTGTATGAAAAGTGAATTTACTCTGTAAATCTTCACCCACATCCTAATAAAAAAAAAAAATATAAAAAAAAAAAAAAAATCCTTGGTGAACCTAGGATGGTGTTTCCTCTGAGGGAGAAGTGAAAAGATATGTGGTGCTGGTGACAGAAACTCATCAGCCTTGCATCTGGTCACTGGCTGCATCCTGCTATACTCTATTTTAGGTAAATGAATCTGTTCTTCTCAGCTGGATTATGAACTCTCAGAGACCTTGACCTACATTTGCTATTGCTCTACACCCCACCCCACCTCAGTGCTTAAGAAAAAATAAGGCAAGGGAAAAACATTTAATACATATAAAATTTTTTTTGATGCCAGTTGAATTCAATCCATGTCAACTTTAACTATCAATATAGTTAAATTT